GGATTTTGGAGCGTATCGGAGCTGTGTCATATAGACTAGATCGTCCAGCATCTATGTCTAGTATACACAATGTATTTCATATTTCTATGCTTAAGAAGCACTTGCATGATGAATCTATGTCTAGTATACACAATGTATTTCATATTTCTATGCTTAAGAAGCACTTGCATGATGAGGAGCAGTAGCGAGTGTTAGATGCACCAGAGATTGAGCTTCAGGATGATTTGACTACTATTGAGATCCCAGTGTCTATACTTGCTAGAGAAGACAAGAGACTTAGGAACAAGGTGATTCCGTTGGTGAAAGTTCAGTGGAACCGAAGTGGAGTTGAGGAAGCTTCTTGGGAGCGCGAGCAGCACATGCGACGCGACTACCCACACTTGTTTGAGTAGGTAAATTTATTTATGATGTGAATTCTTACTTGTGCTTTTTATATCTTGATATTTATATTTAACACTAGAATGAGGGTATGTTCACTTAATTCTTAATCTTTCGGACCACATGGCATATATATGGAGGGTTCCTTGTTTGAATTTTTTGCCCGACGTACTAATTCCGTTAGATTAAGGGTTGAGTGAGAATATTATCATTTTAGATAGTTAAGTATAAATATCACTATATGCTTATCTAGAGTTTAATATTACGAAAGGTGTATTATGTGCGGGTTGGATTAGACCCTCGACGTGCTTTTCTAGTATTATTATGCGTTAGATATGATTTCTGAATCTCGACGTGCTTTTCTAGTATTATTATGCGTTAGATATGATTTCTGAATTTTGAGGACGAAATTCTTTTAAGGGGGAAGAATGTAAAACCCTGTACATTTTGATAATTTATATATGTGATTATTAGTGAAAAATAATGTTTATTTATGATAAATGTCTTTATGTCATGGTTGTGCATGATAACTAGTGTTTTAAGTTTATGTGAATGTATATATGCTGATAAATGTCTTTATGTCATGGTTGTGCATGATAACTAGTGTTTTAAGTTTATGTGAATGTATATATGCGTCAGGTTTGAGGTTGTGTTTTGCAAATTTGCAAATCATGCACAGGTACAAATGTAGCATGTTCGGTCGACCGCGAGTCGACTGATGGGGTCGGTCGACCCTGAGTCGACTGATGGCTGATTTTAGGTTTTTACAGTTTGGGTCTGTTTGGGATTTCAGGTCAGGTTTTAACTGTTGGTATTTATCTTTTTACCCGAGAAAGACACCCTTTCATCAGTCCTCACCAGAAACCCTAGCCCCCTTTCCCCTCGAAAACCCTAGCTTCGGATTTTGGACGTTTTGGGAGATTTTCGGGGATTTTTAGCAGATTGTTGTGGTTTGCAGCGAAGGGAGTCGTTCTCTCGCGGATCCAGACGTTGTTCAACACACCAGAGGCAAGTAGCATCTTGCCCAATCCCTCTCCCATGTTTTTTAAGAGTTTCTAACGTTTTTCATGAGGTTTATTGAGCCTAAAAATTATTTTCAAGTATAAATCGATGTTCTTATTAGTGTAGATGCTAAAAATTATGTGTTTCAGATCTCTAAATCCTCACCAACGAATCTTTGATAAAACCGAGATCTAGGAATTTATTTAAAAATGAGTTTCTATTTTGATTAATTGCTCTCATTCATGTTTAGGGATTAAATGTTAGATCTAACATGTATATTTTTTTTCCATGTTTTATACGAATTTTTTACTGTCTCATATGTTTAAAATTGATAATATATTGTTTGAGTTGATGAATTTGATTTTTAGATGAATATTCGTAAAAATAACACAGCATGCACGAACAGGGAAAACCCCTTTGTTTAGTCGACCGTGAGTCGACTAGTGACCCTAGTCGACCGTGAGTCGACCGTCGGGTTCAGGTTTTTCTTCTTTCGGTCGACCATGAGTCGACTGGTGATCCCAGTTGACCACGAGTCGACTGATGACCCCAGTCGACCATGAGTCGACTGACGAGTGATTTATTTCTTTTTTCTTCCTGTTTAAACATCTGCTGTGTATATATATAGTGCATATATATATTTGAGTGTACTGTTTATCATTTTGAGTACGAGGAGCCGCCTCGTTTATCGGGTATTAAATTTCTGTATTAATGATTTCATCTACACATGTAAGATGACACATTTGTCACAAGCTTAGATCTGTACATCGAGACACGTGCAAGAATAGGATATGTATATCTTTAACATTAGCATTCCATGTTTTATATACACAGTCCTCGTGTTGGACTATAATCCATTGAAGTCCTCGTGTTGGACTATAATCCATTTCAGTCCTCATGTTGGACATTCACAAATCAGTCCATGTGTTGGATATTGGTTAGACAACAAGCATGACACTTAGCTAAATCAGGACATGACATGATTATATGAAGTTGAGACATGATAGCTATTTAGGCTGGACATGATACTTATGTGGTTCCGACATGACACTTATGTAATTCTGACATGACATTTGTTTTACGTCTTGTAATAGGTTACCTCTTTTCTTTATTGTTCTTGTATTAGACTTTGGGTTTGGTATTTAGGGATTTACAATTTGAGATATAAGGTATATACATGAGGGTTTCCTTGTTTGGATTATTTCGCTCGATGTACCTACGCTCGTGTTGTAGTTTCCTAAATACTAAAACCCTCTATTTGTTAGGAGAAATGATATGATTATTCCATGTATAAATCTGTATTTTCTTATACAACGAGCTATTTCCCTTGGGGTTGGTTGTGATGTTGCTTGCTAGCGCTTTGACGCTCGTTGTCCCTCTCCTTTCAGGTAACGAGCCCGGAGCCCGGAGAGTCGCAGGTTGAGGACGATACTCATTAGCGTCTATTTTTCTTTTATAGATATTTTTGTGTTATTAGAGCTCCACTATAGACTGTTTTATTTAGACATGAGAGTTTATTCTAGAGTTGTAAAGGCTGTGTGCCTTATTTACTTCTTATCAGACATTGTGTACTTGAGACATCTTGAGATCTTCAGACTGTTATTATTTATTTCCGACATTGACTATGTATTCTAGCTTGTTTGGTTGATGAGATGTATTAATTTGAGTTCTATCATTTCATCATTTATCTGTTGTATAATCTTTTACTTGCTTTGTACCTACACCTGTAGTTGATTCCACTAGAGAGATAGTAATTGTGATGGTGAAACATGTTATTGTACGGTGTGGTGCATGACAGGTTTGACATTTCTGGTTTCACCTTGGACTGCAGCCTTGTGTGAACCAAGGGGGCGTCACAATATGCTTAAGGATTGTGTTGTTAATGGTAAATTCAAAATCTCCTTAGCTTATCGATTTCTCCTTCCTCCTACATCTATTGCATCTTGGCATAAGGTTGTTTGGCGCAAGCTTAATCTGCCAAAGTTGTCTTTTATGAGATCAATTGCAACAAATAGAAAATTCGTCACTCTTGATAGACTGATCAGATTCGAGATTCAAATCGATAATCCTTGTTGCATCTTGTGTAATTCAGACCCTGAATCCCATTCTCATTTATTCTTTGACTGTGCATTTAGCTCTAATATTTGGAGTAGCAACACTTTGTTGGCTAGGATTTCGGTTACAATCTTGTTACTAGGTAATACTTTTTAATTAGTTTGCACTGCGGGTGAGGATCAGGTTATATACACCAAGTTTGGAGGCTCGTCCTTCCTCTATCTATGAAGTTTGGCATGAAAGAAACTGACAATTTCGTGATAATTCTCCAAAGTTAGTTGAGACTATGGTCAAGACAGTCAAGATCAATATGCTCATGATTTTGTTTAATTCTACTATTCTTGACAATTTTAAGGCTTGGGTTGAAAAGTTATGAGTATATTTTGTAATTTTTGTTTTATCTTCTCTGTTTCTTTCTTTCAATCAAATTAACAGATCTTGTATCCTAAAGTATGCCTGAGCTCTTGATGTACGAACATTTCTTACATAGGTGAATGGAAAATTTCTCATTGACCTAATAAAATATTCTAAAGTTAGTCTCATGAGAATTTTTAGGGAGAAACTCTTTCGTTCACCTAACTAAGAATATTAAAAGTCTTGACTTTAGAAACTTTAGGTATTTAAGTGTAGCAATATATATATATATATATATATATATATACTATATATTTATATATATATATATATATATATATATTATATTATAGAGAGGAGAGAGATGAGAGTGACTTATGATGCTAACTTTAGTGGACGCATCCACTAAAGTTTCTATCGGCATTGATGATACCTAGAGATCTCGGTGCATCATATAAAGAGACTTTGTTATCAATGGATACAAACATTTTAGTGGATGGTCAACTTAAGTTACATATATATACTGTGCCTTTCAGGACGCACATATGGCGTACTGGCATTGAGGTCTAGAAAATTCGTGACGCGGCAGGGGGGTTTTTGAAAAAAAAGCGCCAGGCACTTTTCAGATCGTCTGCGTCTCTGGCATTGGCAATGCTCTGCTTCGCCTTATTATAAATAATCACCGCCTCCAAGGCAATCACCCCCATCTCTCATTCTATCCGCAAATCGAACCCAAATGAAGCAGCTCCAAGCTTAGCGACTTGTCGCGAGCTCAGCGGCGCACGGACGAGCCGGACGGAACCACGCTGCCACGCTCAAACTCTTCGATGACGCGCGCACGTTTACGTCATCTCGCGACTCGAGCCGCGCGCCCCCGTCACCGGTCTCTCGATGCTAGCCCCCGCTCGAGCTCGAGCCTGGGGCAGCGTCCGCTTCCGCCCTCCGACGTCTCCGATAATCGTCCGCCGTGATGCGCGCTCGCGTGTCCAGGCCAATTCCCGGCCGCGCGGCCCGTGCGTCTCCAGCTCGCCCTTCAGCCCGACGATCCAGCTGCGCGCTGCCCGGGCCTCTCCGATCACCGGCCGCGAACTCGCCGAGCTCCCACCATTGACATCGTCCCTCTTTAGCTCGCTGCTACACATCGCCGCCTCAATCACCGCTCGCCATCTGCCATCACCCTCGACGGCCTTCGCGAATCTGAGACCCGCCGGCGAGATACCTCCCTCCCTTCCTCCTCCGCGACAAATCACCGCCCGCCTCTCCGCCACGAACCCCCGCCTCTCCCTCCCTTCGTCTCTCTTCTCCCACACTTTTAAAACTTATTAGTTATAGTTTAGTTATTATTATTATTATTATTCATCAGCGATATTTTGAAGGAAAAAAAAACTAGTTAGCTCCAAACAGGCATGATAAATTGTTTATTGACTAATTAGCATTTTCGTTGAATGAAATAACATCATATTGTAATGTTGCCTTATTGTTTAGAAGCCATTTGAGTGACTTCAGCTTATCATGCTTCCTCATGATGGTTTATTTTGCAGCTATTGTGTACAAGGAAATTCATATTTAGGAAAGGCAGCAGCAACATTGAATTTACTTAACCATTGTGTACTGTTATGTTTGAAATATGAGAAATGTAATGCTCAGTGTAAAAATTGGTCACGAGTGTTTAAACTATGAGTGGTCCACATTAGGAAAAATGATGCCCATTTGTCAATTCATGCTTACGGTACCACTTTATAAATCATTCCTTAAGATAGGTTAATGACATTTTAGTCATTTGATTTGGATTTGGTTTGGATTTGATTTGGATTGGGATCCTAACAGTTAACTTCTTATCCTTTGATCAGGTCCAAGAGCTCGCTGGAAACAAGAGAGAACAAGAAGAGGTGTAGGAAAACACCCCTGCTGACGATGAGTAGATGAGGATTTTGAAAAAAAAATGTAATGACTATTGATTGTAGTATGATTTTTGTTCATTCTAGAATTTGTGTAAATTTGTTGTTGTGTAAATTAGTGTAAATTTGTTTTTTTGCCAAGTTCTTTGAACCTGTCAATACTCTTGTCAGGTTTGGAATGAGATAAGCCAAGTTCTTTGAACCTGTCAATACTCTTGTCAGGTTTGGAATGAGATAATGCATTGATTGAATTTGATATTTAGAAGTTGTGAGTGAAGATACTAGTTGTCAGGTTTGGAATGAGATAATGCATTGATTGAATTTGATATTTAGAAGTTGTGAGTGAAGATACTAGAGTGTTCATGGTTTACTAATATGAGGGATAATTCATTTCACAAGAAGCTGAAAGTAGCTTGTTTTGCTACTTGTATATACTGCTTATATGACATCTTAGGTTGGTATTTTCAACATATGTTGAAGAATGCTTAACATGTAGATTGGTGAGGTTCATGATTAAGTGTAAAGATGGAAAGGACACTTAAAAATGATTTATTGAGGTATCATATCAATTGATGAATTCGAGAAGATTTACAGCCTACATATATCGTAGCAATTGTGTTCTCTGTTTGAAGTTTATGAATTTTGAAAGAGGGTGCTTGCTTTTGTATTTCTTTTTCATGATACGGTGGTTTGTTGACTATCAAGCTTTTATGTGCACCCTGATATGGCAACACGAGAATATTTTGGAAAATGATTACGAATGTATCTGAGAATTCTGGTTCTGTGGATTCAGCTTTGGATCGGGGAGTATCCTATGTCAATCAGGCATGATGCGGCCAAGGAAGCTTTGTGTTTACTACTGCTTTGAAGATGGCGATGATGCTTCGTTCCTTGCGCATCGCTTCTCGATTGATCCGAGCTTCAAATAGTCTCGTTGTTCCTGTTATACAAAAAAATGTTCACAAAAAAATGTTGAGTGAGAATAAAACCTGAATCAAACATAACAGTTTACAAAAAAGATGTTCACGTTATACAAAAAAATGTTCACGTTCAAGTACAATCAAAACCTGAATAAAATCTGAATCAAACAAACATCAGCTACAAAGCATCATTGAATTCCCAAATGCCTTACAACCCGCTTCAGTTATACAAAAAAATGTTCACGTTCAAGTACAATCAATGGAGTACATACCAGTTTACAAAAAAAAGACTTCGACACACATTACATATATATATGGGGCAATCAACCCACCTTACAAGCAAAACAACGCAACAACTAAATCCTTCTCCATCCGTTGCAATCAAACATAAACAGCTACAAAGTTAAATGTGCTCTGCCCCCAGCTACACAGAAATCAAAAACAAATAAAATGTTTAGTTAGAAAGCTCTAAGGCTTTAGCACAATTGAAATCCACATATCAGCCTTCTTTTTCAAATACCTTTTTGCAGCACAACTAACCACAATCACTGAAGAATTCATACAGTAAACTGACATTACAATTCAGAAAGGCAAGATTTACTAGGAGTATGAAGCAGAGTTTATAGAACCAATATAAAACTAAATTAGTACCATTAGTAGGATATATGCCAGTCACAGAAGTTTACCAAATTTCTCTTCAATTGAAAAAAGAACAGCCTACTTAATTTCCTAAGTGCATTATACAAAGGCACTTTAACAACCTTGAATGGTGATTGCCAATCATTCCAAAGGTACAAATACACAGATTCCTTACTTGAGTCACTTAGATGTCAAGTGGGAAGGCGACATCAAATAATTGTCAATTAGATCCATATTCAAGAAGCAACAACATACCAGTACCAATAACAAACATAAATGCATAAACTACTCACCCCCTAGTATCAACATCAATGATATTCATCACTTGCAATTGTTGGAGGATGTGGCGAGCTACAGCACCACTACTCTTGCAGAAATGTGGAGGATGACTTCCATTTCTCTTACGCCCACCATAGATCTTCTGGAATCCACCTACCCCAATTCCTTGTCTAAGGTAAATCTTCCTTGCCATTGAAGCTACACAAATTAAAAAGTTATCATTGCCAGACTAAAGAAAATTCTGCAGCAGTCAATTGGAGAAAAATCTTAAACATATTCATGCATTCTTATGGAGATCGATGAATTGTTGAGAAGGGATCTTAAACTGAGAATTGATCGGAGACGACCTGGCTCCGGTGGCGGGAATGGCAAGACTATTTGAAGCTCGGATCAATCGAGAAGCAATGCGCGAGGAACAAAGCATCATCACCATCTTCAAAGCGATACGAGCGGAGACCTGAGCTCGACGACGAGTCTGGGCGGGGGTGGCGAGCTCCGAAGTCGGCGATTTCGGGCGGTGGAAAGGAGGAGGTCGAGGTGATGGTGAGGGCGAGGGTTATGAGCCAGCGGTGATGCTGAGCGGGGGCGAGGGGATGTCGATGGTGGCGAGCTTCGGACAGCTATCGGAGGCTCGGGCAATACGCAGCTGGACGTCGGGCTGAAGGGGAGCTTGGGCGACGGGGGAATGGCTGGGCGAGCA